CCTGGACAAAGAGCACCGCCTCGTCGTGGCCTGCCACGTTCTCGGCCCTGACAGACACGCGGTAGACGCCGGGACTCTCGTAGCGGTGCCGGATGGGCTCCCCAGTCAATGTGAGGTTCACGTACATGGCCTTGAAGCCGTCCCCAAGGTCCACCTGGTACTTGGTGGTCAGGACATCACCCTGCAGGAAACACCGTGGGGCCACGGAGGAGTGGGTCACAAAGCTGAGGGGTCAGTGGTCTCGTTCACTCGTTCACTCCCTCACTCCTCTCCTCAGAACGAGTGGGCCTGGGACCCCCAGAGAACCAGGTCTGCTCTGCCCAGGGGGCTCCCAGCTGGGGTACGGGGCAAAAGCTGAAGGAAGGCTAAGGCGGGGCCGGGGCCAGGTTTGCATCTCAGAAAGCTGACCCAGCTGGGCGAGGGAGAGGGTCAGGGAGGCACTGCAGAGGTGGGCCCGGGGGGCCAGGGAGGACCACTGGGGCCTGAGCCGGGAGCCAGGAGGGTGAGGAGGGACCTCGCACTTGCTGGACGGTGTCAGGAACATGACTAGAAAGATCTGCATGTCTGAAGACTCAGTCTCCCAGGAAATTAAGGAAACATTATTTTTCCCTCTCTGATGATGTGGTTCCTGCGTTTAATTTTATCTCACTCTCTGCGGTACCAGAGTGATGCTCAGATGTAGGGGGTCTGTGCAGGGAGGGGCTCCCACCGACCGCTGCCTCTTCCCTGCGTTTCACCGTCCACACAAGCCATCTAATCACCCTGTACACCTCCTCACCACCAGCATCCTCCTCCCAGTAACCGTGTTCTCCTCACAGAGTTGGGGAAAGGAAACTGAGTGAGGGAAACAATAACTTTTTCAGCTTCGTGGCAAGAAGTTCTCATATTCAGTCTCATCTCTGCCCCATCACCCCTCCCTGACACCCCAACCCGACAGGGACACCCTGAAAACCATTTCCTAGTGATTAAGAATGAAAAACAGCTTCACTACTGTTTAGCAACCCTCTTATTTGACACCTGCCAAAACTTACAACTTGATATAAAAGAATACTTTTATATAAATTATGTTCATTTGACGTTTTTTACAAATATGGGGTCATAGGTTGAATAGTGTCCATCCCCTCCCACAACTCATGTCCACTTGAAGCCTCAGAATGCACCTTACTTGGAAACAGGTCTTTGCAGATGTAATGCATTAAGATGAGGTCATACCAGATTGGACAGGACCCAAATCCAGTGATTAGGGTCTTTATAAGATAAAGGAGGGGATTTGAGGCACTGAGGAGAAGCCACGTGAAATGGAGGCAGAGACTGGAGGGACCCCAGGGTCCCCAGAAGCTGCAGAGACAGAAAGGGTCCTCCCTTGGAGCCTCTGGAGGGACCCTGGCCCTGCTGACAATTTGATTTTGGATTTCTAGCTTCCAGAACTCTGAGAGAAGAAATGTGTGTTGTTTCAAGCCACCCAGTTTTGTGCCACCATTGTAACAGCCACTTACACGTATAAATTCTATTATCCCCATTCTATAGGTTGGAAGACTGAGGCTCCAAGTCCAGAACCCGCAGGCTGGCCCACGCTCTGGTGCTCTCTCCATTTAAGGCAGCCTCATGGGTGGCAGTGAGGGGTCTCAAGTCCCACTTGCTCTGGGAGGGAGGGGTTTTCTGTGGTGCATCCTGGGAGCCTGAGTGGGACCTGCAGCTTGGACGGGCAGGTGCCACACCCACCTGGGGTCCCTGCTTCCTGCCTGAGAGTGGCTAAGGTCGGCGCACTTTTACCTGTCGAGACACTTCCTTGGTTAAGGCACCTCACCATAACCAGGAAAGTAGCAGTGTCAACGCAGGGAAAGGAGAAAACACAGAAGGCAAACAGAAGGAGCCAGAACGGAGACACTGCAAAGTCACCTAGCACCCGCCACCCACACGCGGGGCCTCCATGCAGGGCGTGTGTGTGTATTTACCACCAAGCACTTCAGAAACACGCAAACGTCCTGCATGCAGCCAATCGCCAGTTCACAAGTAGGTGTAGGGGATAACACCGAGAGACCATGTCCCCGGGACCCACTTGCCCGTGCTAACATCTCGTCAGCTTTAGTATCACAACTTGGAACCCACACAGTTACAGCCGAGATAAGGAACGGCTGAGTCATCGCTGGGGTCCCCGCTTCGCATCCCGACACCATGGCAGCCACTAACCTGTTCTCCATTTCTGTCATTTTGTCATTTCCAGAATGCTGTATAAGTGGAATCGGACCGTATGGAATCACTGGGGGGAGCTTCTCCACACAGTACAGCTCTCCGGACTCACCCAGGCTGGCTGCGGGTGTGTCAATGGTCTGTTCCTTTTCATTTCCGGGCAGCACCCGTGGGATAGACGTACCATCGCGTGCTCACCCACTTGCCCACCGGGTACAGCTGGGTTGTCCCCGGTTTGGGGCGATTACACATGAAGCTGCTGTGAACCGAAGCCTTTGCTTCTCTGGGATAGACGCCCGGGTGTGTAACTGCTGAATCCTGTGGAAGTCGCATGCTTAGTCTTTAAGGAAACCAGCAGCTCTCCAGAGTGGCTGTACCGCTTTACATTCTCATCAGCCACATTCGAGGGAGGCAGTTTCTCTGCATCCTCACCAGCATGTGGTGGTGCCGCTTTTTCACTTCAGCCACTCCTCCAGGTGTGTAGTGATGCCTCCTTGAGGGTCTGATCTTCATCTCCCTGGTGGCCAGTGATGCTGGATACGGCCCCATGTGTTCACACGCCACCTGTACCTGCTCTTCCGTGAACCGTCTCTCCGCGTCTTTTGCCCATTTCCTAGTTGGATTACTTGCCTTCTCGCTGTTGAGTTCCACGGGTTCTTTATACATTCCGGGTACTAGGCCTTGTTGGATGTGCAGTTTGTAAATATTTTCTCTGTTGCTGTCTTTTCATCTTAACAGGCTCTATCACAGAGCAGAAGTGTCACATTTTGACGAAGTCCAATTTATCAAATTTCCTTCCCGGATGACGCTTTTGGTGTCAAGTCTAAGAACGCTCTGCCTGGAGTCCTAGAGCCCATGTATCTTCTCCGATCTTTTTTTCTAGGAGGTTTCTAGTTTTCCGTTTAAGTCTGTGGTGCACTTTGAGCTGCTTTTGTATCAGGTGTGAGGTTCCGGCCGAGGTGCCTTTTCACTGGATGCTCATTTGCTGACGCCCAGCCTCCCTCTGCGGAGATGCTTTTGCTCCCGTGCCAAAGTCAGCTGGGCGCGTTTGTGCGGGTGTTTCTGCCTTCCCTATCCGGTCTTAGTTTCAGTTCTTAGATATTTACAGACCTTGGGCCCCCCTATATCCCATACTGTTTCCATACCTGGGTTGGCCTCTGTGTGTGTGTATGTGTGTGTATATGTGTGTGTGTGTGTGTGTGTGTGCACGCACGTGCTGGTATATGGACATGTCTGTGGTTGTGTGTGTGAACACGTGTGTGTGTGTAAGCGCCGTGTGTGTGAGAACATGCGTATGCACAGTGTGTGTGTGTGTGTGTGTGTGTACCCGCTCCAACCCCACAGCCACACTCCTTCCCCACGGCTCCAACGAGCGAGCCGGTGGTCTTTTTTGGACTGCGGTGTGCGTGGGAGACCTCTTTCTTCCAAGAGCATCTTTCTGTCACATCTCTCTGTGATGCTGCAGGCGAGGGTCCCAGCCCACTGGGGAGGGAGGGAGGCTGACAGGCAAATCCAGACTTGGCTCCAGTGGGAAGAGTCAAGAACTGCGGGTGTGACTGCATGGCCGGGATTCCAGCCTCTAGGGGGCAGCATGCGGCCGCTTTCCCTGCAAGTCTGTCCCGGGGCTCCAGGCGGCAGATGGGTCCACTCGGAGGCTGCGTGTAGTCCCAGGCCGGGCAGGAGGCTTCGTACTCCTCTGCTGCGAATGGAGCCCCACCTCCAGCACCCCAGGGCTGCCTGGGGCACGAAGCATGACTCAGGGCCAGGCCCCATCAACACGTGGATGGGGACAGGAGGGACTGCGACCTGCCCTAGGACAGGCTCAGGTCTGGGGGCCGCGGGCCAGGCACTGTCCACACGGAGTCCCAAGGCCGCGACCCTACACCAGCTCCATCACTTGTTACTGTGCGGCCTCAGGTGAGCGGCTGTAGCTGTCTGAGCCTCGGTGTCCCCAGCTACAAACGAAGCCGTTTGACTCTGAGGGGGAGGGAAGGGAGCTTGGACCCGCGGGCGCCCACGCGTACAGCTCTGGCCTCACACACAGCCAGGGTCTCCGTCTCCCAACATCGAAGACCTGGGTCGGCATCACCCTGCCCCACCTGCGCACACTTTGAAGGACACCTAGTGAGCACACGCGGTGATAAAGCCCCACGCACTTCACCCGACATATTCGTCAACCAATGTCCAGTCGAGCCGTGCGCCCCGGAGGAGCTGGGATCCTGGGGGAAGCTGGCGGCTCTGACATCTCCCTTGTGCTCTTCTGTAGCTCTGAAGTTCCTGTGTGTTGGTAAGCTTTTCTAATTTGTTTTTGAATGTTCTGCCGTAAGCACTTGTCACCTCCATAATCAGAAAAACAAGCATGCTGCATATCAATTTAAGTAAACTGAGAGGAAATTTAAACAATAACCATCGATACTTTGGGAGCACAGGGTTTTTGGTGATATTTATATTCTCATGTTTTTAATGTGTCTTTTCAATGAGTATATACCATTCTTAAAATCGGAAGAAAATGTAGCACCTGTACTAAAGGAAAAAAGACGAAGAGACTGGGAGAAAATTCACGTGCGTGCGTGCGTGTGTGTGTGTACTACATGCAGTGTATCTCTACATCATCCACTTATATTCATAGACATATATTTATATACAGATATAGATTTAGATCTATGTCCACAGTGTATCTGCCTATCAGTCAATCATCTGTTTATTTATCATCAGAATTTACCTTTGGCTGTGGGATTACAAGGAATAGTGTTTTTTTTTACTTCTTGCTTTTCTTAAGACTGTCAATTAACTAAACCAGCATAATTAGAGGTTTAAAACACTGTATTGCTGCCCACAGGAACGGATACATCTGACATCACCGTCCAGCTAACACACCACCCCCCGCACAGAGACGTGTGAAGCCGGGTCCCTCGGCCTGAGCTGGCTGCCCACTGTTAGACTCCCTCACCTGAGTTCCTGTGTCATTGTTTCAGTGCTGGTCTGGTCCCAGGAAGGGATTTCCGGCCCACTGGCCCCTCCCGCAGTTTGCAAACCCAGGTCCACGCTGCGCGGCACGAACGGCGCGGGGGCGGTGAGAACACTACACGCTGTTCTGTTCGCCCAGACGAAGTGGCCTCGCGGGGACGGCACCAGGGCACCAGCCGCCCGGAGGAGACCCTCACCTGCTCCTGCCGCACCACGAATAGGACGTCCTCTCCTGGTCGCACAGCCACCGCCTCTCCACGGATGCTGACCTGCAGGCCCCGGGGCGGCAGGAGCGGGCACTGCAGCTGCGCCGGGCTCTGGCGCGGGTCCACGCCGCCCTCACACACGTTGGACACCACCTTCCGGTACCTGCGGTCAGACAGCGGGTCAGGGTCGCACGCACAGGCGGGGGTGGGCTGGCCCGGCCGGACCTGCTTGTCACCGTGCGTACGTGCGGTGGCTTCGGGCTTGCGACCTCCCTCTGCCAACTTCTGCCCTCCTCCCACCTCCACCTGATTGTTCTTTAGGCCCCATTTCGGAGATGAGAAAACGGAGGCTCAGCGGAGGCAATGACAGTGAATGGAGGACATTTCTTTGGTCTGATCGTGTTACTACCAATGACAACAGCTGTTGCTGCTGAGGGGAGGGCTGGGGGAGCCGCTCTGAGTTCCGTGGCCTTGCTGGGGACTGTGGTCCGGGGAGGACTGAGTGCCCGAGGCGGGTGGGCGGGGCTCAATCTGGGCCCCACAGCTGATGCGCTAAGTGGCTGTGGGCCACACGACCCCCTTCAGGCTCCTCTCCCTGTTACATGGAGGGAGTGGGGCCAGATGATGCTGAGTCACCAACTCACTCATGCAGCAAGTTTACTGAGTGCCTACTCTGTGCCGGGTGCTGGGGTCCGGGGTGATCGCTCGCAGCCCTCCCCTTGCAGAGCAGACTGCCTAGTTGGGGAGGCAGACCTCACCAAACCATCTCCCCTATCAAGTGCCGGGAAGGAGCAGCACCTGGGAACCTGGGCCCGGAGATAGGGGCTTTCAGCTGAGATCAGAAGGGTGTGCAGGAGAGGGGAGAGTATCCTGGGCAGCGGAACCAGTGCGTGCAAAGGCCCTGTGGTGGGTGGCTGAAACCCAGAGTGGGGACAGGTGTAGGCTGAGGGTGGGGAGGGGTTGGTGGGCAGAGTTCGCTGGGGTCTAGTAAACTTTTAGGAGACAATGGGAAAATCACTGCTGGGGGGTGCATCATCCGACCTGCCATTTGTGATGCTCTCTCTGGCTACACTGGGATTCTGGGGCTGTAAACCTAACATCACTGCCAAAGGGCCTCCATCTGCCCACCTCCCTGTGCCTGAACTTCAGAAGTTTATCAAGCAAAACCACATTTGATTAGTTTGGAAGAAAATATGCTCCCTAAGAGCTACCCGCTCACAGCCCCTTGGTGCCAGATTCTGCAGGTGGCATGTAGCGGATTCTCTTGCCCTCGACACGGGGCCTGGCTCTGACCCTGCAGAGGAGTCCCTGCTGGCCAAGCCCTGGCAGGTGCGCTGGGGCAGCCGCTGTGTCTCCCTGACGGAGGAGAGCTGGATGACGAATGAGTGGTTAGAGGACAGAAGGATGGGTGGATGATGGATGAATGGACGAGTCAGTGGAAGAATAAATTGATGGATGATGGACGGATGGGTGGATGGATGAATGGATGACTGATGGATGGGGGAGTAAATGGATAAATGATTCGATGGATGGATGGATGATGGAATTTATGACACTGTGGTCCAAGCCTGCAACTTCTTGTCCTGCTTCTCGGTGCCGTGGGCTCGGCCCCGCCCCACCCTGGGACAGTCATGGGGATTTTCTAATGATCCCACAGGCATTTCACTCCTCATGTCTTCCTCAGAGGGAAGCAGGGTCCTTTGGAGAGCATCCTTGGGGCCTCCTGGAGCTGCAGGTTCACAGCTGTTACGTACCTAACATTTTTATAGAACATTAATCCTTTATACACAATGTGCTCAGCCTCTGGTGGAGGGAAAGCATCCTACGTGCTCACACTTGCGGGAGGATCTACCATCCTGCACAGCGTGTGTTCGTCACACCACATACCGTGTGTCATGGAGCTGACAGTCCAGGAGGGGGACAACTGGCGAGTGTGACAATAACTGGGATGTGCACTCCTACAGAGTAAGCTCGGGGTCCAAGGTGGGTCAAGGAAGGCTTCCTGGAGGAAGCACCATTCGAGCTGAGGCCTAAAGGAAGTGTGAGCATCTCTGGCCCAGCTCAGGCCTGGCCACTCGGTGTTGGTCAATGGGGAAGGGTCCTGGCGCCGCAGGGGCTCCGAAGGACCGGGGGAGGGGTGTTAATGCTGTGGGAGGGCTCAGTCCCTGCAGCAGGTGTGAGCTACCCCTGGACTTTCTCTGCCCGTTGTTCTCTGTTCGGAGCCAGTTCAAGACTCCTCTTCTCCTTGATGCTGACTCTCATGGGCTTCGACTCGAGAACCCCCCCAGGTCAGCGCCTGGGGCGACTCACTGACTTCTCTTTCCTGGTCTCTATGCGGGGAGCTGTAGGCACCAGGCAGCAATGGGTAGGGGGCACCTACTGTGCTGCACTCACCCGAGGCTGCTGGTGTAGGTCTGGCCCAGGACACAGTCATCAGGCGGGGACATGGGGTTAAACCAGAAGTTGGCAAAGCACTTGTTGGCATCGGACTCGAAGGAGGAGCGCTCAAATCCATAGTCACTGGGAGGAGGGAAAAACAGTGGTCAGGAGACAGCTGCTGGCTGGGATGGGAGCCAGCCTGGGGCAGGGGCCTCACACTGAGAGCCCACTATGCACCTGACTGTGAAGACACAGAGGCAGACCCACAGGGCCCCATCCCAGGGGGAGACAGGCCTGAAAGCTGACAGTTACGTTCCAGGTGAGAAGGGATGCAAAGAGCATTCTGGGAAATCACAGGAGAGCACTGAGCCCAGCCTGGGTGCCCTGGAAGGCTGCCTGGAGGAGGTGGGCTTAATCTCAAAGGAATATCAAGAGACAGCGAGGGGAAGAGGGGGAAAGGCACTGCAGGCAGGGACTGGTCCCTTCAGTGCTAGTGCAGGGAGACACAGGCAGAGGTGGCAGGAAGGTGAGGGGTAAGGACAGCTGGAGAGGCAGGTGGGTGGACCAGAGACCCTAGGAGCCAGGTTCCAGAGCCCGGACATTCTCCAGTGGGCAGCAGAGTTTTTGACTGGGGCAAGGGAGCTGTCGGGGGGTTTTCAGCAGAGTCCCTGGATGGAGGAGAAGGAGCTGGGTGGCACAGCTGGCCGCCGAGATGCCCTCTCTTGTCCTCAGGTCCCTCTCCTACCTGTGAGCAGGCCACCTGTGCTGGTTTTAAAACTACGTCCAGGAGTTCTTTAATGCGGGCTGGACCCAGCGTCTCAGTTCTAACGCACAGAATAAGGGGGGGTGATGGACACCCTCCCGCTGCCTGCTCCACCGCGGGGCAGCCGGACGCCCGGGCCAGCAGTCCGAGGGGCCGAGCCGGAGCGGGACCCTCACCAGAGGAAGTCGGAGGCCCGGCACTGGCACACGCGGGCCGTGAGCGCCGCCGTGAAGCTCCGCCCCTTGATGCACCAGGACGCGGGCTTTCTCCTCCGGAAGCTCCTCTGCTGGCCCATGATGCAGCGGTCGCCCTGCGCGGGAACATCCTGGTCACCGGCCGCCTGGAGGGTCCGCCCTGCGCCGGCTTGTGCTGCCCATCTGGAGGGTTCTGCAAGCCCCAGGCAGCCGTCGGGCAGGGAAACCACGGCCCCGGGGCGGGGGGGGGGGGCGCGTTCACGGAGCCCCCGCTGGGTACGGGCTCCGTCCGGGCCCTGAGGGGTCTCAAGGCGGCTGGAAAAGAGGCCCGAGGGTGCCAGACCCCCGAGCAGGAGCTGGGACAAGCCACGGCCCCGGGCCTCACAAGACACACTGCAAGCCCTCAACCAATCAGAAGAGGCCACACCCGTGTGAACAGGCGCTGAGGCAGTGATGGGGCGGGGTCCTCCCAGCACTTCCAGGGCCCCCACACTCTGAAATCCTGACCTTGGGCAGCACAACCTGATCTGAACCGCCCCGGGAGGCCATTCTGGTCCTGATTTATTCCTGAGTGTGGATATTACACATTTTGCTGTAGAAACATTTGTGTTTGAGATTATGGGGAGAGGGCTGCCCCAGACCCACTGGGGTGTCACCTACTATATGATACATAGGCCCTGTGACCCCGAGCAGAGCTGACACCAGGCTGGCTCAGGGCCTGTGTGCCTGCACCTGAGAATGCCTGCAGACCCTGGCCAGGCAGGAAATCCCGCAGAAGGGCTGGACATCTGCCGGAGGCCCCGCGACCTCGCAGGCCGGGGCTTTGTCGGGCGGAGGGGGCCTGCGGCCGGGCCCACCTGCAGGTTGCTGAGGTCCCAGGAGCCGTAGTCGTCCTCGCCGCACTGCCTGGAGAACGAGGGCCGGAAATCCACCTTGACCAGCTCCCAGTCAGAGCGGAAGCTGATGTGGCCGAAAACGCTGGGGAGGGGAGCGGAGGGAGGGCGGAGCCCACCTTAGTCTGGCCCATCCCTGAGGTGCCACACTGCCCCTCCTGGCCTCGGTTACCCCCCGCACAGCGGGCCCAGCGGCTCCTCGCCTGCCCTCGCTGGGCTGCCCTGGGACTGGACTCACGGCCCGCGCTGGGCCTGGCCGGCCACAGGCATTTGGGCATTGGCATTAAGTAGTCCCACGACAGTCACACGTTATGTGTGGCTTGTCAGTGGCACTGGTGTGGGTCATCCCATATGGCCCCCCGATGGACCAGGAAGCAGGTACAGTCGGGTCGCAAGCCCGGGCCCTCCCACAGCCCTCATGCCGCTCCTTGCAGAATTCTGTTCTGCAGAATGATTCGTGGTCAGGTGTCTGCATCCCATGCTACTTTCCTCCCAGCCTCTGTCAGCCCGACCCGCTGGGGGCCTGTGCTGCAGAAACCCAGCCCTGCAGAGCTGGGCCACAGGCTGTTTAACCCCTAGCAGAGCCGGCACGCCCAAGACAAGTAACGAGTCATCACACAGGCTCAGAGCAGCGGGATGGGAAGGATCTCAGTGTGGTGCCTGCCGTGTGGCCCCCGGCCCTGGTGGGTGGAGAAAGCAGGGGACAGGCCACCATGGGTGCCGGTGGTCTACAGAGCGCCCACTATGTGCCAGGAGCTCAGTGTATGCACAGCCCCCTCTACAGAAAGGAAAACTGAGGCTTAGGGAGGTTGAGTAACTTGCTCAAGCTCACACAACTTGTTTGTGCCATTTCTTCTCCCTCAGCAGTCATTTGTGAAGTGCCTGCCATGTGCCCAGTCCCCCTCGTTCTCCGGGAAGGCTGCCGCTTAAGGGATTTCCACCTGATCCCCCACTACCTCACACCTGTGCTCCACATACCACCACAGAAGGGTCCAGCCTGCACTTCTCTGGTCCTTCTCCAGTCCAGTCTACAGCACTCGGGCCGTATTACTAGATGTTGAGCATGTGAATGGAGAAGGTGATGCACCCACTCTGGCCTTGGTCCCCTTCCAAGCACACTGACAGGAGCTGGATACTGGGGGGAGGCCAGTTATGGGCGAAAGGCTGGAAGCTCCATTCTAGAATAATAGTTGAGAAAGGTCTTGGACTGTTTTCTGGGCAACCTGATGGCTGGCCCTGAAGGTCTGAGGCTGATACTTGAAGAGAAGTTTTGCCTCCACAGGGCAGCTCTGAGTGCACAGGTCTCAGGTGATACGCCTTCACCACGACTGTGACCTTGGGCAGGTCCTTTCCTCTCTGTACCTCAGTTTCCTTGGCTTTAAAATGAGGACAGTAACACTGGCCTTTCAGGATCGATGGTGGATTAGTAATGGTTTGTGTAGGATGCTTGGCACTTAGTAGGAGATTTTTACACACACACACTCACTCATGTACACACACCCATGCATGCACACACTCACAAGCTCACACATTCTCATGTGCACACACCTATTACCTCTACTGCCCAGAGCGGCCTCTACTGCCTCTACTGCGGCCTGGGGCCTCTCCTGCTGCCGGTGGACGCGGCCCGGCGAGGACCAAACACGCTCCGGCCGCCCCTTCTACTCTGCCTCGTGCACCTGCTCCCGCAGGTGCTGTTTCCTGCTGTGGGGTCCTGGGAGTCCCGGATGGTGGTGACTGTGGCTGCAGAGGTGTCCTTCCTGTCATCTGTCTGACTCCCATCCTGCCATCAACTGCCCTCTCCCTGGAGGTGTCACTATGTGGGGACTGTCTTGGCCACAGTGTCCCCTTCTCCCAAGCAAAGCCTGCTGGTTCAGGTATTTAAACAGAGGGTGAGGGTCTCATCTCACTTAAGGGACAACTCCCGGGTCCTCAGCAGCCTGAGCCGCATCCCCTGCTGTCTAGAAACCACATTGCTGTGTGCTCAACCCTCCCCCCTCCTCCTCACCAGCCCCCGAGAGGAATGTACTGTTATTATTCCCATCTTATGGATGAGAAGACTGAGTCAAGGGCCACAGCCTTGGCCCATCTCCACGGGGAGCCAGCTTCGGCCGCCCGGCTGGTTACTGAGAGGCTGTGAAGCTTTGCCCAGGAAGCTTGCTCCAGCCCCAGCGTGGAACACAGCCCCTGCCTGGGGCACAGGCCCCGCGGGGAGGTCTCTATGTTGCTGTATTCCCAGCTGGAGCTGAGAAGAGGCTGGTTTGGTTGCTCTCACTAATCCTTTTATGAAACCTAACAGCTCAGATGATACTTTGAGAAATATCTGTCACCTGGCTCGCTGTGAGTTTTATGAAAGAGATCCGAGGGGAGCCTATTTCTTTCTTTACGATTAACAAGGAAAAGCTGGGCCAGGCTGTGCCGACTGAGCGAGGAGTCCTGCGCCTTTCAAAGAGCCCACACCCCTCCGTGGGTGCAGCCTGGGGAGGGCCTGGGAGCTCCCCAGCCCCGCTTGGGGCCTGGGGGACCCTCACCCTCTGAGGCTGCACTGGTGGGGACTGGAGAGCTGGCAAGTGTGAGACATGCTGAGGGAAGCATCTCGGAAGGCCACTGTGGGCAGCTTGGATGTGACGTTTGGGCAGATTTGGATACAGAATCATCTGGGAAAATGCTGTCAGGAAACAGGACAGTAGGAGAGAGAGACAGAGACACAGGGTCAGGAGGGAGGGAGAGATGACAGACAGACAGAGAGAGGGAAGGAATTTGTTAGTGGTTGGAGACGCAGTGTGGTGAAGTAGAGGCCTTCAGGAACAGTTCTGATGGTTTAGGAAAAAGAACTTAAAAGGTTATGCAGCACTTGGCTCTGAATTCTGCCTCAGTGTCCCAGGGCTCAACTGCCCATCTGCTGGCGGGAGGTGAAAATTGGGCTGGGACAAAGGGCTTGATGTTCTGCAGCTCCTAGGTCAATGCCCTGGGGTAGAAAGTGTGCCCATTTCTCGGCTGGGGAAGCTGAGGCCTCCCACCCAGCTCACTTGTTCAACCTCTGCAAAGCCAGCAAAGGCCAGCCATCGCCTCTGGTATTTCCCACTCCTCCCTTCTGCTCTGTGGAGTCTGGTCCTGGGAAACTGGTCGACCAGCAGAGGGTCCAGGCTGAGCCTGGAGGCCACACTGCAGAGAGCCCGAGGCTGGAATCTTCCTCTCCCACCTCCCCTCCCAGCCCGAAGACCCCCAGAGCGTGAAGGGAGAGTAAACACGTGACGTCCTGAAGGGTTGAACACATCCCAGGGCCTGGGAGGAGAGGAATTCGGTGTCCAGGGAGAACCACAGGCAGGGCGTTTGGAGAATTCCAAGTGTGATGATTCCTCACCGAGGTTTTGACGGCGAGCTTCCCAGGGTCCCTGCCCCAGCTCTGCCTCTCCGGGACCGTGCAGAGCTGATGTGAGGGGGCCCCTTTCCCACCACTCCCTCGGTGCGGAATTATTGAAAAGTGAGCACTTCTGGGGCAGGGGACGGATAAATCCTTCCCTGGAGACTATTATGAGAATAAAATGAGATAACGTAAAAATCGAATCCATAACATGCAGTTGATGCTCCGTAAAACTTCCTCTTGGCCCTCGTTGCGGGAGGCCCGGGGAGGATGCAGGGAGGAGGCCAGAGGTCCCGGTCCTGGTGGCAGGGGAGGCCCCCTGGAGGGTCACCGAAGCCAAACTCCAGTCTGGCAGGAACTCAGACGTGCCTGAGCTCTTGTCTCAAACGCCCCGGGAGAGAGAGGGCTCCGCGCTCTCTGTCTGCACACAGCTCTGCTCCATCTGCTGTTCCCAGAGGCCTGCGTGGTGGGCACACAGGCAGCTGCGGCCGCTGATCCCTCAGTGATGGGCTTTCCAGAGCCATGCTCCCAGCCCCGCCCCAGGCGCCCAGGGCAACCAGGGGCAGCATTCACCCGGGACCCGCAGGAACCCCGGGGCAGAGGCAGGCCTAGGGGGAACTGTCCACGCTGGGCAGTTTCTCTCCAGTTCAAGCCTAAGATTGGGGGCCAGGCACCCCTGGGAGCTTATCCAAGCGGGCCTCTTTGGGGCATTCAGAAGGGTGAGCACCTAGCTCTTCCCAGGTGATGGGGGAGTCGGTGGGGGCTTGGGCACGAAGGCCATTGTGAGCTGGAAGGTCAGACAGGAGATGCCAACTGGGACTAACCCTGGCAATGAATCCGGCCACCACTGGGCACAGGGCCCCTCCAGGCCGCGCGGGCAGGGTAGGGGTCGCAGCGCCTAGCCACTCCGCTGGGAGTGGGTGGAACCCCTCTAGGAAGGGCCCAGCCAGAGGCAGAACTAGGTCCAAAACCCCAGAGGGACAAGTGTCAGCTCATCCCTGGGCCTGGGTCTCCCTCGTCCAGGCTCAGTTCAAGGTCAGCTATTCTGAGAAGCCTTGATAACCGCCCGCCCCACCCGCTGGCCCTGTGGTAGCAGCAACTTCCCCGTTAGGGAAACAGTGCTGCTCTTTGCTACATTTGATTGGCCTGCCCCCTGGGCCACCAGCCCTGTGGGTCCTCGGGGTCCCTGGTGCCCAGAACAGAGGGCAGCACGCTGCAGGCCAGGCTAGAAGGATGGGAGAAGGGCCGGCCTCACGGCCTCGGCTGTGGTGCGGAGCCGGGAGGACTCGGTCAGCGGGTGGAGGCCCGCCTCCCTTCCACCCTGGACCAGCTGTCCTGGCCCTCCTGGGCTGGGGACTCAGACCGAGGCCAGCCCTCAGGAAGCTTCCTCAAAGTCTGCTCAAAGGAAGGAGGGGGAGTAACTTGGAAGGCCAACCTGAGACCGAGGCGTCCAAAGCACCGGGTCCCCTCCCAGCGTCAGGGGCCCTGGGTCTTCCTTGGGCAGCTACAAGGGGGAGAGTCCCTGGGGCGTTGTGGGGCTTCCTGGGGCCACCATAACTAATTTCCACAAACAGTTGCTTCGAACAACAGAAACATCTCAGTTCTGGAGCCGGAAATCTGAGATTTAGGTATTCACGGAGCGGGCTTCCTCTGGAGGCCGCAGGGGAGGCTCCTTTCTGCTCCCTCCAGCTGCTGGGCCGCAGGGGCTCCCGGGCTTGTGCCCGCATCGTCCCAGCCTCTGCCTCTGTCTTCACACGACGTTCTCTCCGCTTGGCTGGGTCCTCTCCTCTTCGTATAAGACACGAGTCATTGGATTTAGGGCCACCCTACTCCTGTGTGACCAACCTCTTCGCAGCTAATCACATCCCCAAAGGCCCTATTTCCAACTATGGTCACATCCAGAGGCTCTGGGTGGATGCGAATTTTGGGGGACACTGTTCTCCCCAGTTCAAGCATCATCAGTAAAAGGCAAGCAGGGTGCACGGGGCCCGCTCTTCCGCACCAGGTGCAGCAGGCGCCACGGCATGGGCGTGGCTGTTAGAAATGCAGAGGTCAGCTCTGCCTGAACACGTGCCCAGGAGGGCCGATCGCCCAGGAGAGGACTTCCACAGGCAGACTCTCATTTCCAGTTTCTGGCTGAGCACCTTTTCTCCCCAACCAGGCCCCAGAGCACGGTCAAGCCCTCTGTGTGCCTCCTTCAGTCCCTGCCTGCTCAGGCTCTGCTCCTGGCCTTGGGATGCCCCATCCTCCAAACAGGGATGCCCTTGATCTGGGCCAGGGTCATGGGGCTGGACTCACAGCCTGGATCTGCCCTGCACTGGCCCATTTGGGTCTCAGGTCCAGTCTGTGCACCGTGCACACAAGTCCTTCACAGGTGCCAACAGCCAATAATCATCACCACCATCATCACCACCAGCATCATCACCACCATCATCACCACCAGCATCATCACCACCATCATCATCACCACCATCATCACCATCACCACCTTCATCATCACCATCAGCACCACCTTAATCATCTCAAAAGGTCGGATGGGCAGTGATCCAGAGCCGACCCTTGACTCTTGGTCCCACCCCTCATCAGGTGATAGTGGGCAGGTGACCAATGTCCCTGAATAGGGACAGAACAGCAACCTGCAAGTGGCTGAAGGTGAGAGGAAACAGTGGACAGTAAGAGATAAGGAAGCAGGTGTGAAGATGGAGGTGAGAGTGAGGAGGATGGGGAGGGAGGCTGTGGGTCAGTGTTGAACCTGCCTAGAGCAGTAAGGCCCGAGATGGCCCTCCACCATGGCCCGCCTGGGGTTCGGCTCTGACCTGCCTGCCCACCGCCCGTGGGCACTCACGTCATGACCAGCGTCTCGTCCCCCGGCTCACTCAGCAGCCCGTCCACAAACACGGAGGTGCTGGTGAAGTTGTGCGTGCTCCAGGTGAGGCCCTCGTCCACGCTGAACCTGCCAGGAGATGGGGAGTCATCACTTCTGGGCAGGTGGGAACACATCCTATGTCCAGGACCCACTGCCCTGCCAGACCCAGCCCTGCCCTTGCCCAGGGACCAGAGCTGTCCAGATGAAGTATCTGGGGGAACAGGTGGCAGCAGTGGCTGACCCCAGGCCCAGTCCAGTGGCTCAGCCACAACTAGATCCCTGACCTCACTCTCTCCTGGGAGGTCACAGCAGCCACCTGCCGGCACCAGGTGGTGTCCACCTCTGCTTAGTGACACCACAGTCGAGGAGTCCTGGGTGCCAAGGAGCTGCTTTGTACTCTCTGGATCGCAGAGTTATTGGGCTTTGGAAACACCCAGGTCAGCCCCACCCAATGCCCGAGCCCAGCCCAGGGGCTGCCTCCCTGTGTGGCACACCACAATGTCACCAGCTTGCTGTGCAGAAAGCTCTTTTTCAGACTAAAGTGATATTGCCTTCCTAGCAGCTTCCCCAACTCTGCTTTTGGAGTCCAGAGTTCACACCTGCTCTCTCTTCTCCACAACAGCCCTTCAGATGTTTGAAGCGATGCCAAACCCACTCTCCCTTGGGCACAAGCTGCTGGCTTCCTTGTCTGACCCCACCTCCTTACACTTAACTGATTCCTGTCTTGTAAAAGTCACCTCCTCTGGGAAGACCCCTGCTCCCCCAGGGCGGCCTCTCTCTGGCCCACCTGACCATGCTGTCATCATCCCCTGTTTCCTGGTCTCCCCAGGCCTGGCCAGGAGCAGCCTTTTTTGGGAGTGGGCTTTACAGAGCCTGCTGCTACCCACCTCCCTGATGGGGCTTAGTGCCATGGTCCTGGGGCCCCGGGGGCAGCCATTCTGGGGAAAGTTCTGAGGGGTTCCCAGTGGAGAGAAAGAGCCCGCCCTCCCCCAACCCAGCTCAGGGCCCAAGGACCTTACTTCAGGATCTTCAAGGGGATGGAGGTGTCTTTGATGGCCACGATCACGCCACCGTGGTCCAGGTAGAGGATGTGGTGCTCTTCCTCGAACACCTGCAGAGGAGAGCGGGCAGCCTTCTGAGGGCAGGACCCTGGCGAGGGTCAGCGGCCGCTCAGGGTTAGGGTCACTCGCCAGGGGCAGAATTGCCTACACACCGGCTGGGGGACCGCAGGAGGCCAGCTCCTTGAGGCAGGGCTGGTGTGAGGGCTCCCCATGCTCTCCCAGCCCAGACTCAGTGCACGCGGGGCGAATGCATGATGATGGCAACCTCTGGACCACTGACTAGAGAGAAAATTGCAAATAGACACTGGGGGGTCCTGCCTTTAGGAAAAACCCATGCACCACAAAGGCCCATGGCGTGAGGATGAGAAAGCAGTAGTGGAATTTAGAAAAGCCTTTAGGATAAGCATCACCAGAAAGGCAAATCTCTATTCGACATTGACTCGGTTCATGTGCCACCTCCTTCAGGAAGCCCTCCTGGATGCCATGCTGGGGGTGGAGCATCTCTGGGCCCCCTGCCCCAGCACTTGCTGCACTAATCTGTCATCGTCTCCTCCAGCCAGGGAGCCCCTCAAAAGCTGGGCCTGCCTCTGAGTCCTCTTTGTGGCCCAGCACCTGGCTCAGCTCACAGCTGGGGTGCCTGTGAGCAGGAAGTGTGTGTGGGATGAATGAATGAATGAGTGAGTGAATAAATGAATCTCTGCCAAGTCCTCAGGGGACAAAAGTTGAGCGGCCCGGCCTGATGGTCTTTCTTGTCTGCAAACAGTCGTGGGCTGGGGTCCCATTTTACAGACGAGGAGGCTGAGGCTTGGAGCAGCTGGGGAGTCAAAGTCTCCCAGCTGGCAGGTGGCAGAGCTGGGTTTGGCTCTCCAGTCAGGACACAGGGGACCCCCTAGATCTTCCATGAGCACAAGTACCTAGCTGGCAAGCATGTGTCTTGACCCCACCTGGGGAGGGGCACCTTGTCACTTCGCCCTGCAGCTCCCTTACAGGAAGTGGCCCCACCACTGACCACCACAAGTCCACTTCCCACCCCGTCCAGCCGCTCAGGGCCTGCAGGTTTGGTGGCAGGGATGCAGGGAACCTCAGGAGGAGTCGGGGCAGAGCCGGGACCCGGCCCAGCCAGCCCCTTGCCAGGGCCAGCACGCTCATCGGTCAGCTGCCTGGGGTCTCGTTCTGAAGTCTCTAACTGGCATCTTCTCCCTGTTCTTCATGTTGAGTCTTTTTTATTTGAATGTCTGGAGCCAGCAGGAGGCACCCGGGGAGGACTCAGAGCAGAGGCTCCACATCTTGGGAATATGAAACTTCGGCAGAGCCTGTGGGTGTCCCCAGGCCAAGCCCTCGGCCCCGACATCCCATCACCCCCATGCCTCTCAACCCCACCAGAACCTTCCAACGGCCCCATGGCCCTTAGAATCACACCCAAAGCTTTCCATGGCCTTCGGGGCTCTAGGAGATGCCCCTGCCCACCTCTCTCCCACCCCACCCCTGTACCCCAGCCACCCTGGTCTCCTTTCCCCAAACATGCCTCAGGCCCTTTGCACATGCTGTTCCCTGGCTGCAAAGCTCTTCCGCAGATACTTCCACCTTCTGATCATCTTGCTGGCTTTCCCACTGCCCACAAAATTTCTCCAGGACACACTTCTGACTTGACTAAGGAGGAGAGGCTCCTCTTAAAAAAGGGCAGAGGAGGTCTGGCCATCTGTGAGCCCTGCCCTTAAACTTGTCTGCGAGGTGGGGAGAGGAGACGGAGGGGCGGGGGTGGCTGGCTGGCACGGGGACCTCTACTGCATGTACACTGTCTTATTCAATGGCAACCATGCTCGGGGGTTATTTCCCCACTTTCCAAAGAGAGACCAGAGGCTCAGAGACACACAGTGACTTGCCCAAGGCCACACAGCTGATAGTTGGCAGAGCCCGGGTTGACCCCAGGTCTGTGACTCGACTCCCTGCTGTTTCCACCATGACCCTTAGCCTGTGGGCTCCTGAGCAGGACATGTTCAGTGGGAGGAGGAGCTGTGTCTCATGTGATGAGGTCTCAGGCTGGAGTTGGGGTTCAGAGCACTAACTTGGGTGCTTCCCAGATCCCCTGCCAGCACTCACTCCCACCAGACTCCATGGGCACATCTGCAGGGAGTCAGAGGAGGTGGTGTGCCTGTGTTCTCTGTCCTAGGCTCTGGAAGCTACTCCAGAGAAGTGTGCTGTCTGAGGCTACATTAACAGAGATAGCGTTTCCTGGATGAGGGAGGTGACATCATGCAGATTTAGGGTAAAGTGAGGAAGAACTTCACAATTCTCCTCATCTGTCCACCCGTCAAATAGACCCAGTGTTTCAGGCCCTCTGTTTGGGTCCTGGGTGATGGAAACCACGCTGGGTCCTGCCATGTGGTACCAGAGACACAAAACACACAGCGGGCAAGCTTGTCTCTGCCTTTGAACATGCAGAAGCCTCTGCCTCCCCAGTGGGAGCCCTCTTTCCCACTCCACTGGAGCCCAACCCGCTTCTTTCCGGGGGAGATCGGCAGGTGCTGTGCAGTGAAAGGAAAGCCGAAGTGGGTTCTTAAAGCCTGATTGTTCTCAAGCAGGATTTACTTCTGGGAACTCGCTGGTCATGGTCCCGAGTGTGTGCACAACCCCCTCCTGCCCTCAGATCCTGGGGTCCCTGGCACCCTCCTCCCTTAAGGACAGACAGCAGTCATTTGCACCAACCACCCACTGGGAAGACGAGGTGCCCCTCAGAGGTCCCAGGGCACCCCCACAGGCAATTCCACTCTCGTTAGCTTGGGACTCTGGAGAAAGGGGGCTCCAGCCCCCAGAAGCGGTCGCAGGGCATTTGCATGTCCACTGCTATGGCTTTCTGTGCCTCGGCCAGCCCCCAGGCAGCAGGGCAAAGGGGACAGGAGGTCCCCCAACCTCTCCCTTCTCCTACCTCCTCCACCCCTGAGTTCTAGAGGGAGCTCCTTGATAGTCTTCTGGCTTTTTTTTTTTATTGATCATCCCAAGGAAGTCATGTCTTTAAAATGCTATACCCCTTAAGCAGCATACACACTGTCACTCATAATTCACATTCTGAGAGTTCTCCTCTCAAACACGTCTCACTGCATCCTTGACGAGCCAGCCTGAGCTTACCAGCTCATCTGGTCTTTGTGCCTTTGTCCCACCCTGGCCTCTGCCTCCTGCCCCCAAGTAAACTCCAAAACCCAGCTGGAGCACCTCTCCTTCCACGGACACACACGCCCACACGTGGGTGCCCCTCCTCTCCTCCACCAGGCACCCAAGCCCCAGCCCCCTACTCACCCCCATCTCTGCGGAAGGGCCGAGCACCACAGAGCAGCCCTGAACAGACGTTCTCCCACTTAACTCTGACAAGTCCCCAAGTCTGAAGTCTAGGCAGATTGCTGGACAGAAGTGGTCACTGTGAGTACCTTACAGGCAGTTTCTACCAAATTACATCTCTTCTGTTTCACTCAGTCTATTAAATCTAATAAGGGAGGGTGATTTCTCTAAAAAATGGGCAGGTGGTGACCTTTAAGAAAGTTTAGACATGTTTCACTAGTTTCAGTGAAACAGAAATATTATAACACAATAAATCTCTTTTGCCCTTTTCAAAATTCCTTGTTTCTTGCATATTATTAAAAAACGCCAGGGCTTTAAACCAAGGGTGCTGGCGAGCTTCGTGCTTTGGGGATTCACGTATTTGCCCCGTACCTGGGAGGGGGGCTGTGAGTGGGGCACTCAGGTGTGCAGAACATTGACCTAAAAATGGAGCTTCTTACAACCAGCGGAAGGGGAGACACACACAAAAATTTAGCGCATTTTCTTAAGTGTTTAAGTAGAAACTGTCACTCTAAGAAGTTGGCCTGGGGCGGAGCGCTTGGGTCCGGCTCCTGGGCTGCCTGGATGGCACAGGGCGCGCTGGACCGTCGGTCTCCCCTCCCACGGCCGCCCTGTCCTGCGGGACACCCACCTCCAGCGGCACCGGCCCCCCCCATCCAAGAATCTGAGCTGCCTGTGGCGGCCGCACGGAGGGGCCGTGTCCTGCGTAACCGCTCTCTCCTGTCTTCCCCCGTCCTACTTTTCTTTTCTTGGGTCACACAGAACATCAAATCGTCGCCCCTTGGACATCTCCCAGGAGTCCCAGCCCAGACTCACAGTGGCCCCCTCAATCCCCGAAACTGGCGCTTCCCCCGTGTTCTTTCCCCCCATGCCTCTGCCGTCCACCCAGCAGCTGCCCCCGCTGTAAACCTGGGGGCTGTCCACGGCCCCCACTTCCCGGCCTCCGGGCTCAGGGCTCAGCCAGGCATCCGAGTCCCCGCGTGGCTTCCTGCCGGGACAGCACCGCCACCCCGTCCCGGGCACGTGTTCCCTTTGATCTGACATTCTCGGTAACCTGTCTGACTGTGTGCAGATGCGTCAGGTCTGGAATTCTCCAGGGGCAGACGCTCCCAGAGCGGCAAGGTGGTCTGGCCAGCCTGGCCCGGGCTTTCTAGTCACAGTCAGCGATGTCATAGCTGCTGAAGGGAGCTGCGTCCTGCCCCTCAGGCTGGGGACTAGGAAGAAGTGTGTCTTTAGCGGGGAGGGGATGAGAGAACAGATGAGCCTCCCGGGAGTGCCGCGGGGTGAGCGCGGGGAGAGCGCCAGGCCCCTCCCCGCCCCCTTACCTGCCTCCAGGTGTGCCCACAGTCCGACGTGATGTACATCTCCTCTTTATATTCCACCAGCTGGGAGCCCAGGTTCCCTGGTCCGGAATAAGAGAGGCAAGGCTGCTCTTAGGCTCAGCCGGCAATCCCCGCTACCAAGGTCTGAGAGCAGACAAATCCCCACACAAGGGCCGGTGTGTCCTGGGTCTACGTCTCCCACCACCAAAGCCACCCGGCAACTGGCCCCTTCTGCCCGCCTTTTCTAAGATGGGCCTGCTGTCATGGGTCCTAGTGAAGGATTAACCTTGCCCCTAGAAAGCCAGCCTCCGACAGCTTGGTGGAGCCCAGGTGTAGACAGAGATTGGGGGCTTCAGGGGCCTCTCGGGTGATGAGTGTGGTTCAGGAGTAAGAAGTGTGGTGTGAACGGACTATGCCTCAAAAAATAATTAAAAAAATTGAAGCCAGTTTAAAAAAAAAAGAAAAAAAAGGAAAACAAAGGAAAAAAAAAGAAAGAAGTGTCATGAGGTGGTTGGGGACAGGCTACAGGCTAGGAGGACCCAGGCCAGGTGGGCCAGCGCAGGGGCACAGCAGCCCCTGATGAGCTGTCAATGGGGGCAGGACAGGGCTGGGCTCGCATCTGGAGGTAGCCCCCTGGCGGCCGGGTGCAGGGGGGCCAGAGGCAGGTCCAGGGGAGAGGCAGGGTAAGCACACAGTAGGTGCTCACTAAGTATCTGCTGAGGGGATGTTTGGGAGGACGGCGAGGTGGGCACCAGACCGGCTGGGCAGTCAGGAGGCTTCTCCTTGGTCCTGGTTCACTGGAGACTGCATGGGGCCGGCAGGTGGGTCACCGGCCTTGAAGACCACTCTGTGGGGCTGGGACTTAATTCCAGGGTGATTCCAGAGTGAGAACCCCCACTCAGTACCCAAGGCAACCCAGCTTGCAGGTGAGGAGACTGAGGCCACAAGGACTTCGACAGAAAGAACACCGTCAGCCCTGAAGACGCAGCTGCAGGATGGCCCAGGCCCCCTCCACAGCCTCCCGGGCCGGATCTCGGACAACAGGGTTCTCTGATGGGTCCGATTTGGCAGCTTCCGCTGTGACTGCGGGACAGTGGCAGGGACCAGGGGCCCGAGCTGCCAGGATGAAGGGGACCTGCTATGACATGGAAGCCGTTCTGGACCCTCTCCTGGAGCCCCAGAGGCCCCTGATCTGGGCAGCCTCTCCATCACTTGCCCTTTGAAGCCTTATTCATGTGGTACTCTCAGGAGTATCTCATGCAGAGCCAGTTTAGATGTCTTCGGAAAATCCCAACGGAGATGGATTAACCTCAAACAGATGAGGCAAAGGAGTTCAAGCAGAGTGGCAGAGGGTCTGTGTGCCTGCTTGCTGTTTTTGAGGTCCAACCAACCACCAAATCATTTATCCATCCATCCATCCATCCCCCATTCATCACCCCTCCATCCACACATCTGTCTCTTCCTCATCAGTGCCGCCCTCTCACTCACGCCTGCATTTACACATCAGCACTTGCTGGGCGCCTGCTCTCTGCCCGGCCTTGTGCTAAGTTGTCGGGAGTCTGAGCTGAGTGACCACCTGCCCCAAGGGGGTCTCAGTCCAGCTGGGGAAGGAGAAGGGTGCCCTGCAATTGTGCACAGAGCCAGGATGCCCGAGGACCTGTGAGAGCAGGTGAGCCTGATGCCCCGGGGAGGAGGGGAATCGAGGAGAGATTCCTGCAGGAAGTGACCTCCACACTGTGCCTTGAAAGACAAATGCCACTGGCCAAGGGAAAGGGGCGGGTTGCCGGACAGAGGGACCGGCCTTGGCAACGGCATGGAGGTGGGAGGGGAGGCCAGTCAGGGGAGGTGGCGCGGAGGGCAGGGTTCTCTTCTACCCTTCTGGTCACCGAAAGGTGCGGAGGAATGGCTGCTGAATGGCTGCTGAATGCAGCGAGGGAGCTGAGTGACTGAATGCAGCCCTGGGGCGGGGGCGGGTAGAGGAAGGAAGGAGCGCCCTTCATCTTCCCATCATTCCAGACGCCAGCAGAGATGTCGGGACACACGCATCACACACGGAGGCGGTGCAGCGAAGGCTGCGGGGTCAGCACAACCTCGCAGGCAGGTGTGCAGTCTGTGATTTCAGTGTGTGATGTCTGTGTTCCCTGCTCTGTCTACCAAGGCTGTCAGGCTGCCAGTCACCTCACAGGCACGGGGGGGAAATAAGGGAAAATTCACGGAGCACCTCCACAGGCTGTCACAGCGGGAGGCTCTGCAGGAAAACAGAGGCTGGTGCCCTCACTTTACGGATGGGGAAACCGAGGCTCGTGGGGGGATGTGACCGAGAGAGGCTTCCCTGCTGTGTCCCCTCCGGGCTGTTGTGGTGTCTCCTTGGGCCTCCGCCTTCCACACCCGCTTCCATGCTCTGAGGGCCTGGTATACAGTAGGTGCTCACCGAATGTGCACTTCCTCTCTGTCCTTCCTCGGCCTCCAGATTGCAGCGTGGCTAAGACCCCAGGGTCACAACAGAGCAAGCAGCAACACAAAATCCACCCCAGCCCATACTTGGTGGAGGAGGAAACTGGGACCCTGTGGCCCCCAAGCCCAGCACTGCTGGCGACCGAGACACGGCTGGAGGTGCAGCTGGAGCGAGGGGACAGCCCCACCGGTCCTCTGGGAGCTGCCGAGCCTCCAGCTCCCGGGGTGGCCGAGTGAGCCCCGCCTGGCTGGTGGGACTCAGGCCAGCTCTTGTGATGCTCAGGCCCTTCAGCCTCATGTCAGGACACTACCCTGTGGTTGATGGGCCCCCAAGTCCCAGAGGAAGGAACTGCAGGCGGGCGGGGGGCACAGCGTCTCCCGGGAGCCCCGGGGGCTTTCCTGGCCTGGAGGGGGCTGGGGTGCTCCGAGCTCCCCAACACGGCCCCTCAAGGCTTTCTCGGCCACACGACTCCGTCGGGGCCAGAGCCCAGGGGGCGCTGCGACCTCCGCTCTGTGTGGTCCTGAGGGTTCTCGCCTGGACGAGGAGCCGAGAAACAGGCGGTGGTGTGTGGGGGCCCAGGACGGGTCGTGAGGGTGGGGAGGGACCCCCACCTGCATCACACCTCTTAGTGCCCCCAAGTCAGAGACGATCATCCCCATTCCACAGACGAAGAAACGGAGGCCCAGAGAGGTGCCGTGCTCGCCCCAGATCAAGAGCTCGGAAAAGTCCGAGTCAGAATTGGGACGGGCGCCCCCGTCCTAACCACCCGCCTCTGCAGACTTGTGCCCTCGACTCGCCCAGTCAGGAGGAACATTCCAGCTGGCATCCTCCATCTGCCTGCTTATTTCTGGGTTCGCTACGGCTGTTCCTCGACCCTGGCGGTTAGAAGCCAGAGTTCCTGTCTTTACTTCTTGAACCATCCTTTCCCTTCCTCACTGGAGTCATGGCTCCACTTCTAGATCCACCTGTGGGGTCTGGCTTCTGTCCACTGGACCGGAGGACAGGCCCCCAGTACAAGGGCCCCGGCACGGAGCCTGGCCCCAGGGCAGTGGCGCCCAGGCTCTGCTCGAACGACAGGATGACCTGTGGAAACACACCTGGAGGCCACACTTTCTACCTGATCCCCAAACCAGTCTATGAGTTCGTCCTCTTTTTGCAGGTGAGGAAGCTGCGGCTCAGACGGTCCAGTGAAATGCCCAAGGTGGAAATACTGGAAACCGTGCCTTTTGTACTTTGGTCATAATTTGGGTTTCAGCCCATTTTAAATAAGCCATCGCCTTCAGGCCCAGGGAACAGGGTCCACACGACTGCAGGTGCCCGACGCGGGGGCCCAGCCCGTCCCTGTGTGGGCCCTGGTGCCCCTGAGCTGCACTGAAATCGACGCTGACGTGAGACTTCTCGGCGGTGCACACCCATCGCTGACGCAGGCAGACCCTGCCCCGATCGCAGCCACTGAACAGGACCCCGGGAGCACAGGGGAACGGGAGGAACCTCAGAAGCTGGACGGTTTCACCCGCAATCGCCTCTGCTCTGGCCGCTCCCCCATGGAAAGCCCCCTCTCTACAGGATGAAGTCGGGACCCCTCACCCTGTCAGCCATGGTCTCCTGCGACCGGAGACCCACGGCGCCGACAGGGCTGCCACCTCCTGGCCTCTTTGTGGGCTGCCACTCGGTTGTTCTGAAAAGCACTCTCCCTCCTCTGCCTGGAAGATTGCTCCTGCTTTCCAGCGGCCATTCACCCACTCACTCGTTCACCCACTCATTCGTTCACTTTTTCATATCCAGCCTCCAAGAGCCTCCCCAGGCCCAGGCCTCCTGTTGGGGTACATGTGCTGAAGGGCCGGATGTGGCGTCCAGTTCAGGGTCCGGGACCCAAATCCTCCGTGTCCCAGACATGCTGCAGCAGATGGAGGGTTGGCGCCCTGGGTTCAGGAAACCGCGAGCCCTGGCCCCAGGGGTCCCCACTCTGGGACGAGGCAGAGACACTGCCTCTTTGGCTACCACTCACCCCATCTGCACCCTGGGTGTGCAAAGCCTCAGCCTGGCCCTTTCACACCCTGGATGTGTGGCCGGGCCAGGCAGCCCCGCCCAGAGCCTTGGTTTCTGCCCGGTCGGGAGGGGCACAGCAGCCCCTCCTGGGGCGGACTTGGAGGGGCTGCGAAGCGGTGAGCCCTGTGGGGTGGGTCTCAAGCTTCCTGATGGGGAGCCTTGCAAGTTGGGGCAAGCCCCTCCCTCTCCTTGGGCTCCAGTTTCCACCTCTGTAAAGTCGGGGTAACTGACCTCTCAGGGTCAGGGCCTGGCGTGGGTGGCGGGGAGACACTGTCACCATGACAACTGTGGACATGGCGACACAGCCCTGCCTGCCCTCCCCTCATAGCCGTGGTCTCCAGGGCCCCTTCCCTGGACCCAGAGCTGCTGAGAGCTGGCAGAGGCTGTCCCTGCGCTGGGCCCCGCAGGGGCTCACGGCGCTGAGAGCTGAAGGGAAAACCGGACGCCAGCCGCCGCCTGGCCATGGACTATTAAAACAGGTGCTTTTACTGGGAATGGTTTTTCTAATGCAGATAAGCATCATTTTAAAGTTTTATTCAATCAGCAGACATTGAGTGATCCCTGAAGAAGGTTCTAGTTTAATGGGGTAGACAGACACAACCATAACTTACGTTTCTTTTTTTCCTTCATGTTAGTTGCATATGTGTCTCTTGCTCCCCAGTAAACTTGGAACCCTCTTCAGGGACCAATAAATGTCCACCGTGATGCACATTATTCCACCATCCATCCTTCTCTGTACGCCTTCACATTTTGTTATCCATCCTTCCATCTGGCCATCCAACTGTCCATTCTTTCAACTATCCAACTACCCTTTCACCCATGCTCCCATCCATTCATCCGGTTCCTCCATTCCCCCATCCTTCAGTTGGTCATTAATCCATCCACTCATCCACCCATCCATCCATTCACCCTTCCGTCTAGCCAGCACGTAACACGTGCCCGCGCTGGGCCATGCAGTCGCCTCGCAGGGTGAGGTGTCATCTGGGCTCCTGGAGATGCTGTGTCACCGCCCCCTAGTGGATGGACACACCATGGCCCCAGGCCCACGACCATCACGTTTCACCCTTGAGCTCCCCGCAGGTTCATCTGACCTTAATGGCGGCCTCCTACCTGCACCCATGATGAGGCCCGGCGCGGTGTCCTTGGTGTGCACAGTGCCCGACACATAGGGGTTGTCTGCCCAGCGCAGGTGCAGGTGGAGGTGGCAGTCCGGCTGCAAGGGGGAGACAGGGAGCCACGGTCAGCACGTGGGCGGGAGGTGACCTTAGGAAAAGAAGTACTGAGGCTGAATCCACTCCTGTGGCTTTTTGGGTGGGAAGGCAGGGCCAGGAGCACTTCGGGGGAGTGGAAGGAGGGTGGGAGGGAGGCTCTGAGGCTGACCACTGGGCCAGGTGACTGCTGGTGGAGGAAGCCAGGAGGCTGCTCCAAGGGAGGGTCCTCCCAGCATGGGTGCCGGCAGGGTGAGCTCCCCAGGGTGGTTCCTGAGTGCAGAGCGGGGCTGCAGAAAGTGACCCCTGGAGCCTGCCTGGCCCACGCCCACATTCATCCATTCATCCGTCCAGGACCTTTACTGGGGGCCTCTTGGGTGACCGCGGTAGCCTGGGCACAAGGGAGCAGCTGAGGGACACCCATAAGGCCTGTGCCCTCTGCAGGAGGCAGAAGGGTAGGGTGGCTGTGCCAGGGCTCAGTTTAGACATGTTTCACTTGTTTCAGCGAAACAGAAATATTATAACACAATAAATCTCTTTGCCCTTTTCAAAATTCCTGGTTTCTTGGCACATTATTAAAAAATGCCAGGGCTTTAAACCAAGGGTGCTGGCGAGCTTTGTGCATTTGGGATTCACACATTTGTCCAGGACCTGGGGGTGGTGCTGTGCGTGGGGCACTCAGCGCTCTGCTGGTGTCTGACAGGTGGACACAAGGCCTTATAAACGCCCCCAGCAGGGTCTTGTCCGGGCGGATGGAGGGCAGGGCAGGCCGGGAGATCTGGAGGGGCCGACCCCCAAGCACTCAGCACCTGCTCATGTGATGGGACGGGGAGCAGTGAGGCCCAGGCTGCTCTCGGGGTGCACAGTCAGACACGGAGTGGCCCCCGAAGAGTGGGAAGACCCCAGGGCAGGCTGGTGCCAGGGGAGTCGGTGCTGAACGCCTGGTCCTGATGGGGAGGGTTTGGGTCCTGGCCCGGCTTGGGTGGGTGTGACGTGGGCCGAGCAGGGAGGCCACACTGTCCCGAAGCTCCGCCTCCTCGGCCCTTCTCCATGCAGGAGCTGCAGGTGCCCTACAGAAGCATCCATCAAACACAGTCGGATGGCCAGTGGACCATGCTGCTGGCTGGCGTGAGCGAGGACACCCGCCCCCCTGGACACCCCACTTCATGGCTCAGTCTCGTGTCTGAGAAGAGTTAACCATAGGCAGGAAAACAAATGGATTTCCTTTCTGAATTCAGATGCCAACAGACGCAAAACCATCTTCCAAGAGTGATTCATCCTGTGAAAACAGGTCTAATCCGCTTAGCCAGTAAGCCCTCCCTTCGCGCCCTCACTGGCAGGAAGCTGCCCCAGCCGGAGGGCTGGCCGAGTGGCCTGGGAGGCCCTGCATGGCCCAGAGGAGAGGGAAACAGAAGACTCGGAAATCGCACAGGTGTCAGGACTCCCACGGAGGACTTCTTAACGTGAACGAAAGTCAGTGGGGCCTGAAGACGCCCGACTGCTGCTGCTTCCGGGCGACGTGGGTACAGCGATACCTCGCTGCTCTGTTGATACCTTTCTGCATTTTCCAAGTATTCTGCAACAAGCAGGAATCACCTTTTCTCATGAGAAATCAACTCTCAAGTGTCGTCTGCCCTGTGCCTTGGGAGGATGCGGGGCTGGGGGAAGGACAGTCAGGGAAGAGTGACCTCGCCTGCCCACCCTGCACACCCCCGCCCCCGCTGCCAGGGCCACACACACAGGGAAACAGCCTCCCAGCCAAGGCTGTGACTTCTGCTTTTGGTGCCCTGTTGGGCGTCCCACGCACCTGTCCTCGCTCCCCGTGACCATCGGGCTCTCCGTGTGCCTGCCTACAGCCACACACCCACCAGGTGGCTCCTACTTTTATTATTTCAAGGCCGGGACATAAATCTTGAAAGGTCATCTCCTCACTGAGCTGCGTAATTGCAGACAAGAATCTATTCTTAGCAAAAACTTGCTTTGACAGATTAATATGGCTTAACTTTGTCAATGATGATACAAAAATTAGCCCTTTCACAGTGATTCTCTTCTCAGAAGAGCTTTCACAGGCGGCAGGTAATTTATCCTTCCCATAGGTCGGCAGGTGCTATCACCCTCTGTTATCAGACGGAGGGGGGCTTCCGCGGAGGCCGAGCACAGGCCCCTGGTTGGTGAAGTCTGGGAGCAAGGGGCTGTCCCTGCTCAGGCTCTGCCTGGAGGGCACAGAGCCCCACCTTGACCCTGGGCGGGTAGTCAGGGGCTGGCAAGGAAGGGCACCTGCCACCCTCAGGGGCCCTGCAGAGACTCAGGCAGACCCCACAGGGGCAGGATTCTCTGCTGTTTTGTGTGTTGATGTATCCAAACACCCAGAACAGCGCCTCGCATGTAGTAGGTACCCTTACATGTCTGTTGAATGAACACCCCTGTAAGATAGGCCATTATTCTATTTACAGAGGCAGAGCAAGGCATGGGGTTGGCCATCCCCAGAGCAAGGCCCTGGACTGTGAGACCAGTAGGAAACAAAAGCAAGTGTGCCCCGTGAAGGCTCAGTGGAGGGGACCCGTAGGCAGGGTTTTCAGTTATCAGCAGGACTTTGCTGAATGAAAAAGGAAAGGGTAATTCAGCCCTCCCACCCTCCAGGCAGCCAAGACACCGGGCGCCTACACTCACACAGATCCCCTCCGAAACTGCCCAGCCACATGTACGGGCGAGCCCAGCCTCTCACAGAGCTGCAGGACAGCGATTATTGTTTGGGGTGGTTTGTTACACAGCACTGCTGTGTCAGGAGCTGAGTGATACACTCCCCCTCTGACCGCCAGTTACGCCTCCTGTAAAGGGACGGTGTTTCACACAACCCTCTCCACCATGCCCAGAGAAACAGGAGGTTCGTGTTTCCCAGATGGTCCTTCTCAGATGTCAGCGCCTCTGACCCCCAGGTCTTGCAGTAACGTCTAGTGCCCACCCCAGGGGAGATGTGCAAAGCGGGCAGGACACTTACTGGCTTGCAGCTGGTGGGTTTTCCGTTCATGTCCGTGCTGGGCGGCCTCAGGTAGTCCCAGTCTCGGCCTTTGTTGTAGGTTATAAGCGTCACCACCTTTCCGTCAACTTTTTGGTTTGCCAGGAAGACTCCTTTCACCCCTCGGACCTGGGACAGAGGTTCAAGAAGGGTGGTGTGAGCCGGGCCAGCCCTTGCTCGGAGCTCTGGGTGCACGGCCTCACTTCACCCCGACAGCAGCTGGCGCTGAGGCTGACTGCACATGAGACGGAGCAGGACCCTGCGGGGCCTTCCCAGGACAGGCTCCCCATCCAGCATGTGCTCTGCCGGACTCTTGTCTGTAGAAAAACTTTAGTCAAAGAGTAAGTTTAATCAGAGAAATAAGAAAGTACAGGAACAAGGGGAAAGAGTTAAGCAAAACAAAATAATAGTTTAGTCATTAAACAAAGTCGAGGACCTTAGCTCCCCGTCAAGGGCTATAGGTCACGCCCTGAGCCTTCTCCTCTGAGCCGTCGTGTAGGGCCTGAAACCCCCACCAGGCGGAAGAAAGTAGCTACAAGATGACCAGACTGCAGCCGTGACAGACGCTGCCACAATTCCTAGAACTGGCTTCCAGGAAATGGGAACAAACCGACCCTGGAGCTGGGCTTAAAATGAACAAGATGACGCTGATCAGAGCCCCGCACGGCTCACTTCAAGACGACTGTCAGAGCCATCAGGGAGAAAGTAAAGAAAACAGAGATTTTAAAAAAATAAAAAAAATCAATCAAACCAAGAGCTTGTTTTCTGAAAGAGTAAACAAAATTAACAAAGCAATGGCCAGGCTCACCGAGAAGATAAGAGAGAGCGCACAGACAAACAAGGTAAGAAAAGAAAGCGGAGAGATTCAACCAACACCAGAGAAACACAAGAAAGTCATGAGGACACTAGGAACAGCTGCGTGGCAATCAAGTGGGTAACTTAGAAGAAATGGACAAGTTTCTAGAAACATACAGTCCACCAAGGCCGAATCAGGAAGAAACAGACCATTTGAACAGACTGATCACCAGAAGTGAACTAGAATCAGCAATAAAATACCCTCCTGCAAACAAAAGTCCGGACCAGACGGCCTCACTGGGGAGATCTATCAGACAGACAGAGGAGAGCTCACACCAGTCTTTCTCAAACTTCCCGAAGACTGAAGGGGAGAGAACACTCCCAAACTCATTCTGTGAAGCCGCCATCACCCTGGTACCAAAGCCAGGCAAAGACACTACCAGAAACAAACACTATAGGTCAATATCATTGATGAACATAGACGCAAAAATCCTGAACAAAATAGTAGCAAACAGAATCCAACAGCACATAAGAAAGATCATACACCATGATCAAGTTGGATTCATCCAGGGACACAAGGATGGTTCAACATATGCAACATATGATATACCACGTCAACACGAGAAAGGACAAAAACCACATGATCATCTGAATAGATGCAGAAAAAGCATTTGATAAAATTCAACAGCCACTGATGATAAAAACTGTTACCAAAGTGGGTATAGAGGGAACATACCTCAACATAATAAAAGCTATTTATGACAAACCTACAGCCAGCAGAATACTCGACAGTGAAAAGCTGAGAGCCTTCCCCCTAGGATCTGGAACAAGACAAGATGCCCACTCTGACCAGTTCTATTCAACATAGTATTGGAAGCCCTAGCCACAGCAATTAGACAAGAAAAAGAAATAAAGGGGATCCAAACTGGAAGTTCCTTGGGCAGGGAGGCCTTGGACCCAGTAACTGAGCCCCGCTGGTGTGGCCTGAGCTCCTGAGAGCCCCCGTGTGCACAAAGCAGCCTTTGCTACTCTGTCAATAGAATGTCGCTATTTCTCGTGGTGAGCCGGTGGCACGGAGGCTCAGGATGTTATGAGTTTTACCTGAGGTTCCATGGCCGAGGGTTATGCTTAGGATTTGAGTGGTAACACACAGTTAATAAGAGTCTTCTACGTGGTAGTCAAGGGAGTTACTGAGTGCCACCTCATCAAGTCCCCAGACTCCAGGAGGTTGGTACTCTCCTAATCTTTGATGCACAGTTTGGCCAAGTGCCCAGCACATGAGGAGCACGCCCAGGAGGACCCCGAGGGGACGGACACACAGTGAACGGGGTAGCAGTTCCAGTGCTGCTCCAACAGAGTGATCCAGGCAGAGGGGCTTAACGCAGCACACGTGAGTTATGTTACAGCTCTGGAGGTCGGAAGTCCAGCATGGGTCCCACTGGGCTAAAAGCAAGGTGTCGGCGGGGCTGGTCCCCTCCGCCAGCTCCAGGGGAGACGCTGCGTCCTTGCCTTTCTCAGTGTCTAGAGGCACCTGAGGTGCTTGGTTTGCGATCCCTCCTCCATCTTCAAAGCCAGCGGCACAGCATCTCCCTGGTCACTCTTCCATGATTTCATGCATTTTTCTGACCTTCCTTCTGACCCTCCTTCCAACCTTGAGGACTCTTGCAATTGCAGGGTGCCCCCTGGAGCATCCAGCATAATCTTCCCCTCTGCTGATTGCCAACCTCCATCCGCCATTGCCTGTGTCGTCTGCTAGGACGTTGCTGCCTGGGGTGGGGTCTGGGGTGGGGGTCCGGCCGTCATCTCCATGGACAAAGCTTTGGGGATGGTTCGGGATGGTCCTTGTGGGGGACGGCCCCAGGGAATGGAGAAACACAGCCCCTTCTCTCACTCACCACTCTGTCTCTGGCTCACCTGGGGCATCACCTGGGTGGGCACCTGGCCTGCCCAGCACTGAGTGCAGATGCCTCCCCTAGGGGCAGAGAGGACGCTGACTGGCCCAGTGATGGCTGGCTTTATTCGGAAAGCGCTACTGCATACCCCAACTGGTCTCCATGAAAACATTCAGCAGTAAATAGCATGGACCCTCCCGTCCGAGAGAGGGGAGGTGTGGGCTGAGTTTCCCTGGGGTTCGCCTGATCAGCCACGCCCTGGCTCCCAACACTGATGTGCTCACTTCACGTAACTGCCCTCCCCACGGCTGTGTGAATTTCCTGGCTGCGATAGAACATTGCAAACTTGGTGGCTTAAGACAACAGAAAGTTGTCCTCTCACAGCCTGGAAGCCAGAGGTCCAAAGTCAAAGTGTTGGCAGGGCTGCCCTCCCTCTGAAGTTTCCAGGGAAGGCTCCTTCCTCATCTCCTCCAGCTCCAGGTGGCCCCAGTGTTTCTGGACTGTGGCCACATCTCCCCAGCCTCTGCTGTGACTTCCATGGCCCTCTTCCCTGTGCGTCCGTCTCCTGTTCTGATCTTTATGAGGATCTTTATGAGGTCAGTGGATTGAGGGCCCCCGGCTAATGCAGCATGTCTCGTCTCCAGATCTTTTACTTAATGACAGCCACACAGATCCTTCTTCCAAACAAGCTCACAGTCACAGTTTCCAGGGATTTGATGTGGCTGTATCTTTCGGGGCCCCCACTCAGCCCCCTACAATGGCTGTCTCCCAACTGTGGCCAGGGCTTCTGGGGGTCAGGGAACAAGGCTGGGATGCTCCCTCAGCTCTCTTCCAGATGCACCCAGAAAAGGTGTGCTGTCTTGCCTGGAACAGGGGCCCGCCCTGCAGAGGTGGCCGCTCATGAGCCTCC